GATGTTACACACATCAAGACCTTTCATTTAAATACCCACATGGCATTTTTTATATATTTTATATATATATATATATATGGTATTTGTGAAATATGTAAATATATAAAATATATGAAAAATTGATGTGGGTACTCAAATGATAGGTCTCGATGAGTGTAACATCAGGATGAGCTTATATCTTTAAAAATGTCAATATTTAAGAACTAACATTGCTATCTTGTCAACTAATGATGTTCTTAAAGATATAAGCTCATCCTGACATTATACTCATCGAGACCTTTCATTTGAGTACCCACATCAATTTTTCATATATTTTGTATATTTATATATATTATTTTATGTATATATAAAAAATATATCAAAAATGCATGTGGGTACTCAAATGAAAGCTCTTGATGAGTATAACATCGGGATGAGATTAGATTTTAAGAAAAATCAATAGTTAAGAAAGCACAGTGCAATTAAAAAAAATTCATTATTTAATAAAGCAAAATTTTACTTATTTATAATTATAATTCACAAGTCGAGACAGTCACGTAGTGACTGCAAAGTTTTTAGTAAAAATAAATTTTTCAATTGCTTATTAGAGAGTAATAAAAAAAATCGAAAAAAAATAAATATTTTAAATTTAATCCATCAAATTTGTGTAACTGACAAAAAATCTTTGTTCAAAGTAAAAGTAATTTTTCATCCAATTTAATTATTTGACAAAATAATTATCAAATTACAACATCCCGATAATTAATATAATGAATCATCCACATGATTAATGATTAAAATTTTAATGACAAACGGAACAAAAAAATTAGTAGGCCGTCAATTAAATTTTGTCTGATGGATAATTTGAAATTTTCATTGCTCAACTTGATGATGATGATAATAAAAATGGTTCTTTTGTGATCTTACATAAGTTGTCATCCCAAAAATAAACCAGGAGAAAAAAAAAGGCCTGTAATTATTGTCTGAGGAAAGATAAAAGTCTTAACCAATGAATGAATAGGTATTCACCTCGAGACCTCCGTAAGTTCATTGAAGATTCCTCAGAGCGGAGTTAAGTCGAGTGTGGAGGCGTGTATTTTCGCTCCTCAGCAATTACCTATGATCCGTTCCGTGAGCTTGATGCGAGGGAGTGGATGAAATATGAATTTAAAAAATGAGACGGAGAGCGGAGGCTCGCTGGAGGAATAGAACAAGAGATAAACGTATAGTAGTTGGTACACAAGGTAAGGAGAGATTTAAGAGTATGAGGAAAAGAAGAAAAGATGGAGAAGGTGGAGCTGCACCTATCGCTATATTACGTGAAACGCGCGCCGGTTGCGTGTACTTGATGGTGAAGGAGGTAAGCGGTGTATGATTTGGCGATGATTGATGGGGTCGCAGGTCAAAGTGATCAGCGGCGCTCCGGGCGCCTGACGCTCACCTGACGATCAACATCTCTCCTTTCTCTTTGTGCTTCTTTTGACTTCCCTTTTTCTATTACATATATTATCAATATTTTTAAGTATATATTCAATATAAGTATAAACACTATTTTATTATTATTATTTATAATATATTTTCCGAACAAATATATATTTATCTTATTGTTATTATTATTATTATTATTATTTAATTTTTTTTATTGAAGAAATGGTGAAAATTGACAAATTTGATTATTAAAGACATTTTTTTCTTATCAAGTTTTAAAATTGCAGGAAAAAATTTAATTTTTATTAAAAAAGTGTACAAAAAAACTTTTTTCTGTTTCAAATTAAAATTTTTAATGCAGAAAAATTTTTTATCCTGTATTTTTAAATTATGTAAAAAATTAAAAAAGTATGGTTCAATAGAAAATTAAACTAAAAAAAAATATTATAAGTAAATTTATTTATTTATTATAGTACTAGGGTAAAAGACCCCAATTAATGGCGGGGACCCCATTACTGACACTTTCTTTGATTTTGGTACTTATTGAATTAATGAAATCATTAATTTCAATAATGAATATATTATTTCTAATCTTTAAGACTTTTAGATCGGAAAAATTTTTAATTTTAATTCCAAGTAGAACATTTTTTGATTAAAAAAAAAAAATGCCGCTAATAGCGGTTAAAAGTGCCACTAATGGGGTCTTTTATCTTAAATTTAATTTTTAAATAAAAAGCTACACTGATAAAAAAATTAATTTGACTCAAAAACCAAAAATATCATTTTGAAAAAAATAATTTTCTTGAGTCAAGAAAATAAATTTTTGAGACAAGAAAAATTTATTTAAATCAATAATAAATATTAAGAATTTATTCTCTTGACTAAAAAAAAAAATAATTTTCTTCAAAATGGTACTCTTAGTTCAAAATTTTGAGTCAAGTTAATTTTTTTATCCGTGTACAAACTATCAGTCGAAAAAATTAATTATAATTTTTTTTTCTTCTCTTAATTTTGAAAAGATCTCTAGATATGTTTTAATTAATTTTTAAGTATTAAAAAGATTATTGATAATTTTCCAATTTACTTCTTATTTCCACTCTGATATTATCGTTTTCTTAAGGCTGCAATTTTGATGAAACGTCGAGATATTGATTATTATTTTTACTCATTACTATCAATCATCAATCATTAGATATTAGTTAAGAAGTTTTAATATCATTGTTATTATCATTTATTAAATATTAGAACATAAAACACATCATAGATTTGTTGATAATTCAAAAAATTCAAAAACTAACGTGCTGGTCTAGTAACATTGACGCAAATTAATTGTCCACAACATCCTGGATAATTTTGGGTATTGTCATTTGGTTCATGGCCAACAGGCATTTGACCGGGTGGGCAAATGTCATTCAAACATCTGCAATTTTATAAATAATAAAGTTACATATTTTTTTACGAAAAAAAAAATTTCAATCAAAAATTCTATGACAAAAATTTTTTCCCAAAAAAATTAAGAGTATTATTAAAAAACTTACGCAAAAATTCTCGCTTTTCCAGAAGAACACGTTATCAAGAAACATTCATCGATGTGTTCCTTTACTTCTTGTAACATACTATCTGTGCAATCTGGGCCTAAAATTAAATTTGCAAAAAACCATTTAATTATTTGTTAATAATTTATTTATTAAAAAAAAATTACCTATCTGAGATTTCTGCACCGAAAGCTGAACCGCAACAAACATACAAAAAACGAACAATATTAATTTTATCGCCATCTTTTTGTCTATTGATTATCGATACCAAGAATTAGTAACAACTGTGATGATCGTCGATCATTCTCGGGTGTATTTATCCATCTGAGCTTGTTTTTTTTTTTGTTGTAATTGAACCGTACTAACAGCTAATGAGATCATCTTTGACACAACAATAATGTAATGCAATGTAATTATTACATATCTCAAGGACATTGCGGTCACAATTTTTATAATTGTTACATAATAGTCACTTATTAATGTTTTATAATTTAATCATAAGTATTATCAATCAGTTTCTAAAAAATAATTGTTGTTATTTATCTTCAGACATTTTTATTATTTAGTTCATAAAAATTAGAAAATTTTTTTTTGCTGATTATTAATTTAAGGAAAAAATTTCATATATTTTTTCATGAAAAATTTTTAACTTAATACAAATTTTTGGAAAAAATCAGAAATATTTTTTTATTAATTACTAATTTTTAAGATAATTAAATAATTACTGCTGATTATTGTTGTGTAAAATATTACCTAATATGTAAAAGTAAATTACAAAAAAAAAAAAAAGAATATTACCCTCGTATTTTTCTAAAATTTTTTTTTAATTTTAACCATTAATTCTTTTTAAAATAAAATAACTATTATGTAAATAAATTTTTTTTTTCTCAAGTAAGAATGTTTATTTTGACGCAATTTATTTTTTACATGTCATATGTCATCAGCGTATCATTCATTTATCATTTCTTCACACAGAGAAGTACAAGCGTAGACAAACATGAAAAATGATAAGTAAATTTGTTTGGTTAAATAATTTAATTAGTAGTTCAATTAACATTCACTTCTGAAATACACAAGCATTTATTTGTTTATCAAAGCAATTTGACATTCGTATTTGTGCAGAGATGTGATTGCAGGTCGTGTGAGATAACTCCGCGTGTTTTACAGCTGAAAAACACCATCTAGAATGTTCTTTTAGAAGTAAGCGATACTGAAAGATTAATCCATTACTCTATCCTTCACTTATCTCATTCATAAAATTTTATTGTATTTTTTTTTTTATGTTTTTATTCGCTTAAAAATATTTTACAAGTAAAAATTTATAAATTTTAATTTTTTTTAAGTGTTGAAAATTCGGAACTGAATTTTTTCCTGAATTTCTGATAATTATTATGAAAAAATTTATTTAAAAAAAAAAGATCAATTAAATAAATAAATATTATATCGGTTATAATTTGGGTAAGCATTAATAATTTATAACGTCAACTTGTTAAGAATTTTTTTGGTTTATTTGCACTCTGTCAGTTGGTTTATCATTTAAAGACCACCGATGAGATGACCGGTGTAATGTACTCCGATACTTTTTAATAATCTTCTGTACACGTAGCTCTTTATGCTGTACACAATTATAAGAGTTACTTAATGTATACATTTCTTTTTTATTTCATGAGCATGAATTAATAAAATAATATTTTTTACGGGTGTTAAAAATTTATTTTATTCCTTAAATAAAATTTTCCAAGTGTCCTTACTGATGTATTAAAATAAAGATGAAAAATAATTAGAGGCTTAAAGTGACTCAATCAAGCCCATAATAAATGAAAAGATTATTAAATGTCTTCGACTTTGTTGTCAGTTGGATTAAAGCAGTTAAAGACTAATTCTACAAAGGCATACTTGGCATTCATTTGGCGTAAGGAACATTAACTTAAGAGTCTCCAAGAATAGGTAGCGTGGGTGGTGTACATCACCCACGTGCGTGCACTTCAAACACATTATATCAGCCAGTTTTGTTTCAACTGACGTTTGAAAGAGAATTCCATGGTCTGCTGGTAAAACAAAGCGTCCAACTTGCGGTATAGGTTACTTCAAGAATTTTGTTTCTGACTTACGTTTATGTCTTTTATCTTTTTCACCCGAAACAAATGCTTGGATATTAATTTCAGCGGTGAAATCTTCTCATTTTCACGAAACAAGTCTAGAAAAAATTATATTGTTGTGGCAATCGTCCAATAATTGTCAAATTTTAATTGTTAAATTCCACGGAAAGAAATTTTCATTTAAATTTATATTGTTATATATTTTTTATTTATTTCTCAAAAATTACCGTACTGATTTTAATAAAAAATTCGGGATACAAAAAAAAATAACGTATTGAAAATTTCGCATAATTAAAAGCGCTTCTGAATATATGATAGTAATCTATATTATTAAGAGAATAAGAATAATTTTGTGGTCAGGATAGTCAAAATCGGTTTTTCAAGATTTCTATTTCTTTATTTCTAGATACATAATTAAGAAATCACCTTGCATCTTGGGAACTATTGACATTTTTAAAGATATAAGCTCATCCCGAAGTTACACTCATCAAGACCTTTCATTTGAGTACCCACATCAATTTTTCATATATTTATATATATATATATATACATATATATATATATATATCAAAAATGAATGTGGGTACTCAAATGAAAG